ACGTGACCGCGAACAAAGGTAACTAATACTCGCCCTGAAGAAGGAAACCCGAAGGGTCTGAAACTAGTCGGTGCCGTCACCGGTGGATAAAAGCGTGAGTTGAGCCAATTTTGATTTCGCTTAAAGTATGTCTCACGATAGTATCTGTGAAGAAACTATATTTAAGAAAGTACTAAATCTAGACCATAACCTACCATAACTTTTGCACCGTTTAGTAGTAAAACGCTTTAGAACCTTACAATGTTTTTCATAATTAGCCAATAACAAATTCACATAAAATTGTAAAATTAGCAACGGGGTCGTATTCGAAATAATAAATCATACAATTGTGTAACACTGGGCTTGTTAAGTGTTAAAATATATGAATTTTTGGCAGAGTCAGCCCGCACAATAAAGACAGGCACACACAAAACATAGCGAGACTACAAAACACCGACTTAAATAAATAAAAAAGCGAAACATCTGTCATAAGTCAACTTACTTGCATCACACGGCATTATTTAATTTTGTCTATTATAAACTAGCTGTCGACCACGACTACATCCACGTGCAATTAAAAATATACAATTTGAAGCCTATGCATTCTTCCAGAATTTTCTAAATCTATGTATTTGAGGCATTGATTCGTTTTAGAGATACGTAGTAACAAATATCTATCAAAACTTTCGCATTTTACTAACTACTAATAAATGTTTAGATGGATGGATGTTTGTTAAAGTATGTAGCTGAAACTGCTGAACTGATTTCGATGAAATTTCGCTTAGATGTAGCATAGTCTGGAAGAATACATTTTATAAATTCCACGCAGACGACGTCGCGGTTGATGGCTAGTTTTATTAGTATAAAGTATATAAAATGTAAAGTATAAGTATGTTTTTCGATACAATAAAAAGTTGTTAGTGTGCGCCTAACCTTATACAGTCCAGTTTGCGGGGCGTCTGTCCATGCTGTGGAATACTTTATTGTTTTATTTGTATTTGGGCCATTTGTCTGAACTATTTCGGTCAGCCTAGGCAGACTGCGGCACTAACTAGCACTGATTTTTTTTGCGTTTGGATATTTGAAAACGACAGAGAAATTAAATACTCAGTTTCTGAATTACTTTAATGCTCTTAAAGACAGAAAATATAAAGGCCTCTCTGCCACATTGCTATATTTTTATCAATCTATAGTTTGTCACAAAACATGAGAAAGGTGACTATCTTCTAGGAGAAAGGATACTTGTTTTTTTTTCTCTGGTGGTTTAAATAAACAACACAAACACAATATTAGTATAGGCAAGGTGTGAGTCGCCATAAAGGGTACCTTTCTCCATTATCGTTGGTGATCGTCTTCGTTTTTTTCGGATGATTTTTCTTAGGTCTGACGGCGCGCTTGTGCTTAGCTGCCGAGGCATCGAGGAGTTGTGCAGTCACGTCCAGCTCGGGGTCAACACGCGGCTTCCTGGAGGACGGGAAAGGGTATAAATAATGGATACATGCTTCTATAGGAGGTTTTGGGCTGTGAAGGCTACTGTTATGATATACTTGTGACAATACATAGTCGGGGACGTTTATTTACTACCCATGTTGATAAGTTTGAGTAAAGCCACGCCGCTATTGCGAAAGTCTATGGGCAACGGTAACTTCGCCATTTTGGCGGATTCAGCTGGCCACTTGTTCGTTTATTTGAATGATATTAAAATATGTAGTTAATTGCTTTATGACGAGTACGTGTTAAATTATACACGTAAGGAGTAGTCGTAGTTTCACCAGATTATTTCAAATAATCTTGTAAATTTTTGTCTTCATGTTCCTTTAGCTAGTATATGATGGGTCAACTTATTTAATTAATTCTGAAAATTTGTTTGATTATCAGATTGTCTTAAATGCTAAAAGCTCCTTAGTCGTATATCTTAAAGTTTATGTTGGAAAGTCGCGTGAACTTTAGTGTTGAGTTTAGTTTCTATCTAAATATGTACATTTACTTTTTATTTTGCTATATTTTTTAATAATACCAGTATATCATATAACAGTATACAGCCGATGTTAGAAATGTTTGTATATTATTCTCGTGAATGAGGTCGAGGCGAAATATGTGCAAAATATACCTAGTTGAAATTAAACAAACGGATAGTGTAATTCTCTATGTGTTTAGATATTCAATCAACATGTTTTCTTATTCTTATAAACTAAAATAACAAGCCGTAATTTCTTTTCAATGAATTATTTGCTTTTTAAATAATTTATTAAAATGACTAACAATACTCTATAAAATTGTATTAAATAAAATAAAAATTAATTTTTCAAAACAGATGACGATTTTATTTTAAAATATCACACAAAATTGATACTGGCATTTCAACAAGATAAGATTCTAAATTCAAAATAAATTACGCAGGCAATCGAAAGAACAGGAAGTCGTTGATTGAAAGTAATTTAAAAATGTCACTTTTTTAAATTAAGAATATCTTTTTAATCTGTGGTTGAGAGCTGATGGCTAGAAATAAATAATAAAAGAAAAAGTGTTGAGTTTTCTTGAGAGCGAGTGTTTCCTTTCCATCAATCACGTTGGACGGGACGGGAGTGGACGGTGTGGCGACGCCTCAATGTCAGGGTCCGACTGATCTCCGGTTACCTTGAGTTATTATGAACTTACAGGTTTTCAACTGTCACTGAGATGTCAAAGAATAAATCTAGTATTTTCTGTACTTTTCGGTGGAACGGCTTGTTTGGATATAGTACTTTAAGTAACCTATATAACTTAATCCTATCTCTATAGTTTCGTTTTACACTATTCCAGTGTTTATTACAATATATGTAACTAGCTTTCGCTCGCGAATCCGTCCGTGAAGAATTAAAAATAACAATAGTGAGTGGTTCCATCAGACTATGTGCTACACCTATGCCAAATCTCATCAAAATCCGTTCAGCAGTTTAGGCTACAGACTCTATAAAATACTCGTCCATCCATCCATCTAAACTTTCGAATTTATAATATTAGATATGTTAGTAAGTAATTACTATATTAAAACCTGACCTTACACATTTCTTTTGTCTTTATCTCACGTAAAAAACTCATAATAAAATTAAAAGTAAAAATAACAGACTATAAAATGATTCAACTCAAAACTTAAAAGAGATCAGTCGAATGTTCGAGCAAGTAAGAGCATTAAGTTAAGACCGTACGGCGGGCGTTGGCTATTTTAGTGCGGCCCAGAAAGTGCGTGACGTCAGCAGTGGCACAGTTTACAGCCCCCCTCCCACCCCGCACCACCGCCTCAAACGCTCCAGAATAACATACAACTAGCGTTATTGCATCTAACAGCATAAAAAGAGCAACGCACTGGTCGTTTACATCAAATCTATTAGGATGCATAACTTTATTAGATACTAGCTTTTGCTCGTGACTTCCCGCGTGAATATAGCCTATGTTACTCACAGATAAATTGCCTTTCTAACGGTGAAAGAATTTTTAAAATCGACCCAGTAGTTTTTGAGTTATTTCAATAATAAAATACAAATCTTTCCTCTTTATAATATAAGTATAATTTCAGCTTATAAAAATATCGGAATCACTTTTAATAAAGATCAAGCTCGTAAAACTATACATCAACAGCCTTAAGAGATTTTAAAGTTGTTACGGAGAACTTAAACTCAATGTCGCTATTTCTTTTAAAGCTTTAGGTTATATATAGTATTAGTTTATATATAAGTTTGTTGAACATTATTCTACGAGCAAATAATATAACAGTAGAGTACATTTTTGCATAAAATCTCGTGGGTTGTTGCTATTTTCTGCAACGAACCGAAATAGCTAAAATAACAATAAATATGTCGTAAAATATTGGTAAGATGAAAAGTCAAATTTCACCTGACAGTTGGAGGGTAGCCAGGTGAACGATCTCTATTCGAAGGAGACTGCCTTCTCAGAAATCATTAGGTGGGCGATACACGGCTTATTTTCATTTTTATTTAATCTCGCCATCATTCTTACCTGCCTGACTCAGCTTAATTATTTCGTTGGAACGGAAAATGGAAGATTCATTTTTTGAAACTGGTAGCATTTATGTCACTGACGGAATGAATGTTTTGAACAAAGAATTAGAGCGGTCGGATATTTTAGACTAAATTATCGGATAGTACTATAGTGTGCGTTTTGTTTCGTAGCCCATTCAACTGTTTAGTTGCACAACTAAAAATTGAGTAGTGTGCACACCTCCATATAAGCTCATAGGAATCAAACCACGACTAAATAGTTGTGCGATAGTTTAGTCAAATGTGTGCGTACGCTCTCAATGTTCATTGTCCATAAATCGTTTATTTAATGTTTACAAGATTCTATTTGATTACTTTACATTCTACATATATTGTGAATTTTCAGAAAATATAGTTATATTCCCTATAAAACTCAATGATAATGTAGCTTTGTAATGGTAGAAGAATTTTTACAAGAATATAAATGTTTCCTTTTTTAATACAGATAAAGATGACAAATCATTTCTCTCTTTCACCCTCACTGTTATTAATTCCGTCTTGTTCTTGATGTACGAGAAATCATCGATTACTTAATATCAGATTTACTCGTTCTGTTAATAAAAATTCTATAAAGATCATTTATTTATTAAGAATTTAAACATTAACATAATTGATTTGCCTTTGTTTAAATACAGGATGTTGCATAATTAACTGTTGTTAATTAGTGTCAAATCTCACGGTCATTTTACATTGGGGGCGTCTAAGGAAGTGAACCAGCCAAGTTCTATTCTAATATAAATGTACAACGACCTCTAATTGGCGCGCCTCGTTGCAAACTCCAATACAAGCGCAATATTTGCCACAATTGATTGATGACCGAGCTCGTCAGTGTCATAGAAGCCGCCAAAAAACGGTGTCATCATTCAATGTCGCAGTCGTCCGTATCCCAAAAGGTTTGAACACACAACAGTGTTGCTCCTCTAGAAAAATCATTCCTAGTTTCTAGATGATTCTACTAGCGATGTAGTAAATCGAATGCTTGTTACTACGTCTGTTCTCTGTGTCTGAGACAGTTTCTTAAAACAATAGCCTTTTTATTAAGCTGCACTATTTATTGCTCTGGCGCTTCTCCCTCGTGTGAAACTAGCCTAGTTTTGATATTAAAAAGTCGTGTTGATATTAAAAATGAAGTTCATTTCGTCCATTAATCTTTTAGAGCGAGTAAAAATATCCGCTGCCATACTGGCTGGTGGAGTGCAAAGAACTAAAGATATATCGTGTACTAAATTTGTGACTGCTTTTATCTTTGTACATATATCTTTTTAGCTCTAAACATTTGCAAGAGAATATATTTAAATATTACATTTTAATACTTTTATGTTCGTTATCAAAGGAAAAAACATTAGAATCTATTCCGCAATTCGACCACTCACGTAATACAGGACCTCATCAAATACACGTCTATCTAAGAATCTAAATGAGTTTTTCTGATTTATACAAAAATACAATTTTTTACTCTTACTAACATTAGTATAGATAAGAATATATCTTTTTAACTTAATAGAGGCGTGGGATTGTGATAATAGGCGTTTCGGAAAAATATTTTTATGCATTATGCCTATCAATTAAATTTCTTTACACTTTTCTGCTAATAATAAATTGTTAAAAAATTAAATTGTTAAATCCATGTATAAAATATATAGTACTAGCTTTCGCCCGCGACTTCATCTACGTAGAATTAAAATTCCAGACTATTCTCTACATCCATGCCAAATTTCATCGAGATCTGTTGAGTGGTTTAGGCTACAAACTCTAACAAACATCCATCCATCTCAACTTTCACATTTATAATATTAGTAATATGCAAGATTGTTTTTAATTTCTTAATGTCTAAGGATTTCAACAACAACTAATTGTTTTACTGTTCTAGCTAATAAGTGATTTTAAAAGAAACTCCATAAATTTTATTGTCTTTATTTGTTACATTACCTTTGCACGTCGATACACGAACTATCTGTTACATTGTGTGAAAATGTCTAAATATATCAAATGGTAAATACTATAGTTATCACAATAATAATGTTCATCACAACACGTAGATTACATACAACATAACTTCTGGCGTTGCTTGCTTCAAGCGAGATATATACAATGATAGTGTGACTTCACCCTTATTTTCTTCAACTCCTCTTCACATTAAAGAGATCAATAATAATACATTTTGTATGTGGGTACACTAAACACATAGTCCAAGGAGGGACCTCTGGATTGGAAGAAATGATTCTCGTAACTATAAACCCGCCCTCTGTACCTGCATCAACAAGGGATCCACATTATGTAACTGGTGATGAATGTGATGCATGTGATGAGTTAAGTGATAGAGTACAGATGAAGAATGGTGAACATGTTCAGATGGCGCTAGGGTAGCGGTGTTACGCAAGCTGGAGCGACGACCGCGCTAATTTTATCCAGCGCCGTTGTCCGGCACTTTCGAATGCAATAAAACGCATTCTTGACATTTTGATTTTATTTACACTATTTCGGTTGCACTATTTTAGAACCGACTACTTCGACTATAAATGAAATATTTAGGTTAAATGTTCAACAGAAATGCAGGCAAAGACCAAATTAGCTGGAGTTTTTATATTAAACTTTATGCTATACGGAACTATTGTAATGAAGAGGGAAATTCTAGTTATTGATTTCATAATAATTTTAAAGATGACATGTGCTAATGTTAGGCGTATCACGAGAAATTAGAGATAGACGCGTGCGGGTAACTTCTATTTCGCAAGACACGCATGTCGGTTAGTTATTTACAGAGTATATGAAGGAGGGCACGATTGTGCAAAGCTCATATCATGCTGCAGACTGTCGGTACTTACTTTGCTCCGGGGGCGGACTTAGTGTCGAGAACCTCGACAATGTCGCCGGACTTGAGTGACACTTCATCGTCAGCTGCGGCGGTGTAATCACACGAAGCTACCACCACGTCCTCTACCTGGAACAATACAAAAAAAGATAAGCTAGAGCCACTATTTTAAAAATCATCGAACACGCACCTACGCATTTAAATCACAATAGTAGTTTTTAAAACTTTAGGTTACCTTAGGTGGACTTCTGCTACAAGTAGACCTAGATCGAGTTAGGGATCTTGAGGAGTAACGTCTGTAACTGGGTGTATTGTCCAAACTGCTTATTCTGCTTCTTGTATTCTCGCGTTCGGAAGCACCGCTGTACCGTCGGTTCCACCCTCCAAACTTTGTTATTCTTTGGTTGTTACTTATATTACAATAGCCAGTAAATGTTTGAAGATCCTCCTCGTTGTCGTCTACGACTGGACAGCTGTACATACTAAAACGATGTGCGATAGGCTTGCTAAGATTTAAGGCAGAGAATACGTGAAGCGGTTCAAAATGCCTTATTCCATTTTCATCGAGAACTGTGTAGGCTACTTCACCGGTCAGAACCGACCGACTGGCTTCTCGGGGCACTACAGCCTGCAAACCTTTCTTCATGATCAATAACGCTCCTCGATGTTTCTTGCGTTGGAACAGAAAGTCTTCCATAGCTAAACTGTTTTCGGGCTGAAGCAAACTCAATGGAACCTCATCGGAAGTCATCAACGGCCGATCTTCGGGTATGATCATAAGAGCTGCACTTTCTCGTACCAAATCCCTTAATTTGGGATCTGTACGAGCAAGCTGTGGGTCATTTTCTAGTTTTTGTAATGCAGAATGTAAACTAGGTGTTTCATCAGCTAGTTTCCTCATAACTGTCACCCTCTTTAAAATGTTCATACTTTCGGCATCGTTGGATAAGTTTGCCAAGTTTGTCTTATTATCTAGAGTACTTGATAACTTTTTAACAACGTCGTGCATACCAAGTACTCGAGCAAGACCAATTGATTGTCCAATAAATTGTTTAATGTCGTTTGATTCCGCTTCTTGCAAAATGCTTTCTAGTTCTTTCATACTATTCTCTTGGACAGCGGATACGATAACCTTCTGAAGTGTTTCTGCTGCTTCGTTATCAGTTTTAATAAAAGAAATTGACTCGGAGATATGTTTCAGTACATGACGGAGAACGCTTGCGTCGTTTTTAGAAATATTTTTAAACGCTGGACCCAATACTTCATTTTCGCTGCTCAGGAAGTCACAAAACTTTTCAATTATATCTTCTTCTTTAAGGGAATGTTTGTGTAATGTGCTGTTCAAGGCAATTTTAATTAATTCTATTTTTTGTTTTGAAGAATTCTCCAGTATTTCTTCTCGAAGTGTTTCCTTACTTTCTTCCGTTTGAAGAATTTTATACATAGCAGATACGAAATTTTCATCAATAGTTTGGCCTAAAATAGTATCGATTGATTTTAAGATAAGTTGATATTTTTCTCTGCTGTTATTGTTGTTTATCTCTTCGAACTGTTCAGCTGTTACTAATGCCGCCAGAACAGCTGCTGCGATTGAATTTTTAACATTTTCTTGATGCACATCTTGTTCGTCATCATAATTGCAGTTGTCAAGTCGTTTTTTGTTAAATCTTCCTTTTTTGGAGTCATTTTCGTTTTTGTTTTCATGAATCTCGGTCTTTAAGTGAGCACTCATTTCAATTATCGACGTAACGATCTCCATTAATTGATTAGCAATGTCATCTTTCAAACCATAATCAGATATAAAAGCTTTTAATGCTTCAGCATTTCTTGTTTGATTTAAAATAATATTTATTGCAGGTAGGTCAGCTGGTACTTGTCTACCAATTGACATGCCTGCTTCAGATAACTGTCGCAACATATTTGTGTCAATTGTAAGTTCGCCTTTAGTAGATGTAGTATCGTTTGGATTAGTTTTCACTTTCAAGAGTTTAAGTTCTTCAGGAGTAACGACAAAACTCTGAACAGAGAATTCCAGACCCTCTTCTCCTTCGATTAGATCTGGAGCAACAAACTTTAAACCTTCAGGTGTCTGGACAATTTGCCCGGGCACAAATGTTACGCCGTTATCTTCCGTTTCAATAACTCTACCTGGAACAAATCTTGGACCTTCTTCGGTATCAACCACTTGCCCAGGAACAAATCGAGATCCTTCATCTTCAGTCCAAATAACTTGTCCAGGTATAAATGTTGGACCAGCTTTCGTTTCAATTATTTGACCAGGGACGAAGCGAGGACCATCAATAGTATGAATAGTTTGACCAGGAACGAATTTTGCACCACTCTTCGTATTCACAACTTGACCAGGTACAAATTTGGGCCCTTCTGCAGTATCCACAACTTGTCCAGGAACAAATTGCTCACCGTTTTCAGTAAAGACGATTTGACCAGGCACGAAAATTCCTTCAACCATCATTCCGGGTACAAAGCGAGACTCTTTTAATCCATTTTTAACAAGTCTACCTGGAACAACTTTACCCTCTATTTTAGGCATCTTAGGCCCGGGATAAAATTCAATGCCTTTACCAGTTTGTACCATATGACCAAAAACATATAGGGACTCTTCGGATACTGAACATGTTTTAATATCTATAGGTAAACCCACTGGAGCGCCTTCAGTGAAACAAATATCATCAATAGACTTCGCAACAGAAAATTCAACATGTCCATTAGCTTGAACAATTGTTTTCCCTGGTAAAAACTTTTCTCCAAAGTCCGTATGCACGATCTGACCTTCAATAAATTTTGGTCCGTCAATTGTTTCAACGGTAGTCCCTGGTATAAATTCTAAGCCATTGTTTGTTGTTTTTGTAATCCCAGGAACGAAACATGTCTCACCATCACTAATCACAGTTTGACCTGGTACGAATTTTAGACCATTTGGTGTTGCCAAAGTTGCTCCAGGAACGAAATGCAATTCATCATCTTGATGGACAACTTGTCCTGGAACAAATTGCCACTCATTATTTATTTTAGCATTTTGCCCCGGTGTAAATGATATTTCACCATTTTCTGTGATTGTTTGACCGGGTACAAACTGCGCACCATCAGGAGTTAAAATTGTTTGACCCGGTACAAATATTTCTTCGGGCCCATTATTAATAACTTTTCCAGGCACAAATTTAAGACCTTCTTCAGACAATACAGTTTGGCCTTCAGTAAAGCGATATGAGTCTTTATTTTTAATAGTCTGTCCGCAAACAAATTCTTCGCCGTTTGTTGTCTGTAAAACTTGCCCAGCAAGGAAGAATGGCTCTTGTGTATTTTCGGATGTTACAATGTGGCCAGGGATGAGACCGGGACCAGCAGGTGTGTTTACACTTAGTCCTGGAACAAAAACAGGTCCAACTGGGGTCTCTATAGTCTGGCCGGGAATGAAAACATGTCCTTGAGGTGTGTTTATATGTTGCCCAGGGATAAACGTTTTTGCTTTATTAATGTCTAAAGTTAGTCCAGATATTTTAGCAATTTTTTCCCTTTTCCCTTTTTTAATGTTCTTCACAACATTTGGCAATGTTTCTAAAGTGGGCAACATGTCTAATTTATTTTCTTCAAATAATTTTTCAGTCACATCTGCAGTTTCAGTTAAGCGCTCCGGAGAAAGTTCCTTCACAGCTTGTAATATTGTTTCACATGGCCGGTTTTTGACCGGTTTTAATGGATTAACACTAGGAACATTCTCAAGAGGTACAGTCACTTCACTAATATTTCTATCAACTTGGTATATTTCTGTTTCACAATGGTAAGGTGTTATTTTCACAGGTGTTGGTAAAGTTGTGCTCTTAGGAATAAAATGTTCATCTTTCGTTTCCTTTTCAAGTAAATCCCAATCCCACGTTTCCATCAGTGGGTGTATTTGATCTTTCCACTCTCCGTTACACATAGCAATGCTAGATTTGGATCGCATATGATTTATGTTAAAATTGTCGCACAAAAAGCTTTTAATGTCATGTTTTTCATGTTTTATTTTGTCTAATTTAGCTTTTTTGGCCAAACGATCTTGTCGCAGTATTTCCTCTTCAATTTCTTGAACTTCCGCAAGCTTTTCCTTGGTTTCAAATATTTTTTTCATCGACGACAATCCTGCTGCCCGTTTCCTTTTCTTTTTCTTTTCTTCAAGTTCTTCTTGTTCTCTTTGTTTGAGCACTTCCGCATTAGGCCCCTCTCCTTCATACATTTCTACATCTTCAGTAAAATCTTTAAAGTCCATTGAGACACTACGACCTTGTTTTGTTTTTATAAGAACAGTATCAGAGTCCTTAGCGAGCATCACGTCCCTAACATCTCCATCACGTACGGCTGCCTCCATTCGAGCGGAGAACACTAGGCCACAGCGTCTTTCTTGAACAGTATAAACGTATCGCTTTTCTTCAGTAACTTGTTTGGTTAATAACATATCCATTAATGCTTTTTGAGCTTCAGTAGAGCCGTCGAGAATGGGGAATATGTATCTGTAATCTGGGAGCAGGTCATGTTTTCTGTTGCCATAATTAATTTCTGGCGAATAGTGGTGGGGTCCAAGTTCACCGGCCACATTTGTTATTTTGCACTTTGTTTTGGAAGAACTTGCAGTCAAAAGTACTGGAATGTAGTGATGAGTGGGCAAACCGTATGATTTGCCGGTAATCCTGCAGCAGCGCTTGGCGTCCGCCGGCGAGATGGGCGCAAGGAGCGGGAAGTAGTTGGGCTTGGGCAGGCCCCTGCTGCGGCCCGTTATTCTACAAAAGGACATCGCGGCTTCACGTTATATCACGTTGTCATATTATTTGTTTACAACTGAACTTAAATTTTGTTTATTCCGATTTGTAAGCGAGTTATCGTATTTGATTCGCGGCACAAGTGGACACGAGCGTTCCCTGTGGAGGTTGGGGCTTGACTGAGTTGGCTGGCGAGCGGCGAGCTTTACTTAGCGCAGGCGCACGCATCAATTTGCACCTCTGGCGGAGGCAGACGGTGTGCCGTATATTTGTTCCGGTTAGCCGCTATTTATAAACACAAGTGAGACGTATTTATTCTTTACACAAAATGTATTGACACAGATCCATGGGGAAAACACCGAAGCTACGAAGCTTACATTAATTTGTCGTTTTGTGGAAAGATAAAAAGAAAAATATTTTTACGAGTCTTCTTACCTGAAAAGTGTAATTTATTACAGGACACATGAAAATTTGCGGAGATTGTTGTGTCAGATTGTGGCTTAATAATTTACAGAGTGTTCACAAATCCCGAATAATTTTTTATTAGAACTTTGAATAATAAATAATAGTAATTTATCACTATAGAAATGTATTAATCATTAGTCGAACACAATCTCTAAAATAAATAGCAATAGTGTGATTGGATGTATGTATGTCGCGCTTGTCAACAAAGTTAACAAATAACCTCGGTGTCGGGACCGCGATTATATTTTTAAACATCATTAACATTAAATCTGCGAACCTTCAAGTTTAAGTGAGCGTGAAGAGGACAGTTTATTTCTACACACGCTTGATTTTTTTTAATTTATGTCCACGAATCACCTCAGGTGATGACCCTTTTATTAAAATTATAGTCTTAACATTTACTACAAAATAAGCGCTTTTAACAACAGATAGATAAAATCAGAAATAATTTAAAAGCAAGAATTTAAGCTACTATCTGCAGTAAGACTTAAGTAAAGGATTTAACAAGTTCAAGTGGTAATAGTCGAATACTTCGTAGCAGCATTAAAAGGCTACGCGGTCTACGCGCTACGATTCCACGGCTACAGGCTTTAAAACTTGTAGTTGCAATTAGCGTTCACTTAACAATGATAATGAAATATCAAAGTAAATGTGAATAAAACTCTTACTTCTATATTAATAAACCTATTATGTGAGTAATTTGACGAATCACGGTCTTTAAATCAACCACGTAACATTAAAATTGACTCATGCTAACATGTATTAGTATACATCGACCTAAAGTGCCTGACTCAGTAAATCCATGAACCTAACAAACAGTTCATCAATATGTTAAATTTAAACCGGCTTTCGAAATATCTGCGTCATTCATTGAAATAGAACTAAGCCCTAGTTCTTTTTAATCACAGTAACGTTTGATCTCCAAGTTTCGTAACATCAATTCGCAATCGATGTAAACACAAACAAAACGAAAGCTCTTCAAAGTAACGTATGTTGCTCGATGAAAATAAAGAGATAATTTAGAACATATCCAAGGTCTTCGGGTATATTTTTAGCGGATATTTGTCAATGCAACTTGCTATTGGAAACGAAAATGTGAAATTCATACTAGTTAAATTTACGTAGTTATTATGCTATAGTAAACTAAGTTATGTGAAATGAAAACAATATCTGTGATTATTCCTAAGTATCTAGACTACTAATATAATTAAAAGTAAACACACACTTTGTTATGTAGGATGTCAGCAACCATAGTTTTTTTAATAAAAAGCCCTAAACTTATATAACCTAAACTTACTACATATTTTCATGCTAATCAACTTTGGGCTGTATAACTTTTCTGCAAATAAGTGATTAGTTTTAGTCAATAGCGGTAAGAATCAATAAAATATTTTTTTTTATTATATCATACGGATGCAACCGTACGGGAACAATAAGGATTTGATATTCGTTTAAAAACAAAACAAAGTTGTGACAGCTTAAGTTCTTATTGCATTGAAAACCTTTATTTATTGTGCTTATTTTAAAAATAAATATGGCTTTTACATTATATAACGTACGCGGACGTAATCTTTTAGAAACATTCGAAGAAAAAAATCATCTTAATTCCAACACAAATAAACGCACTCGTTTACCTCATTCGTAAACAAAGCGAAGTGCAAAGCAAAACACGTTGAGTGTTTCAATGCCACATGTCTGGAAATATTTCCAGTGATTTTTCCTCAACGACAGTAAGTAAATATCGTGAAATGTGCCATCTTGTTTTATGAGTTTTCACGTTCAGGGAAATTGGTCAGTCACCGTCCAAACGGAAAATGATTGCGGATAAACAAGTTTTTCTTATTGTGACTCACGAATGGTACGGGCGGCATCATCGAGCCACAGCTGGGGAATAACGCAGTGAAGAAAATCAATTTGTAACACGATACCGAGGTTGTTGAACTCAAAGACTAATCTGTCGATATTATAGGCACATAGTAACCGCACAGTTTATAAGAAAACGGGAAACATTTAGCTTTTCAAAGTTGAATTTTAGCTAGATTGAAAGTCGAAAAATAAAATTGTTTGTTGACTTAAAAAAAAATGTTTTTATTTTCTCCAGATGCGGTCAATAGATTTTGAATAGAGATATATAATAAGGCATTTTGCGGCAATTTTAAGTCATAGACTCAATTAACAAAATCTAATATATGGTATTCTGCGCTGAAAATAAGATTGACCATAAATCACTTGTAAGCAAAAAAACAGAATTTTCTAAATCATTTGTACTTTGCCACGTTAAAAAGAAAAATCTCTTTTCAAACGTTTTATCCTCTCAGCGTTTATCATCAAGACATCCAATAAATCTCAAACAGCATAATTCCAAGACAAGTTTGCAAACAAAATCTAGAAACGCCTAATAACGTAGCCGCGGAGATTTATCACTTCTAAGAAATGTCTGGGAATAGTCGTACCAATTTTTTTTAATTTTAAGACGCTTTCTTTCGTATACAAAGGCACTTTTAATTTACGTGTATCACAAAATATGACTGGATTTCGTTTTATAATTTTCTTTCATGTTTTCAGAAAACTCTGCGCAATGTCAACGCTACAAGATTATTTCCAACACAGGGAAATTAAACTTGACGCCTGTCAAAACTGTTCAGGCAAATTATGCATTTTCAAAACCCGGTACAGACGTGTAGACAAGATTTTAAACGCCAGTTGAACTGTTTTGTAAAGTTATGAGAGAAGCACACTTTAATTCCACTGTACATTTAGGCTTTTGTGTAGCAGCAGTTTTTAAGTAAAATTTTAAGTGTCTGTTAAGTTTTTGCCTACATCACTTTTACATTACCACTAACTGTACATTACAACTGTTCAGTTAAAACTGAAATTATTAATTGCCCTTGTTGATTCTGTTTATTCGCTGACAATCAATACATTGCTTGTATCTATACTATTATAATAAAGCGTAAACACACACTTCTTTGATGTCTAAGATATCAGCAATGACAGCACATTTTTGAATAACTGTTTTTTACAAAAAGCCCTACACTTACGTCACGCTTTAGGCTATATATTTTCACGCCATTAAACTTATGGGGTAAATATTTTGCATAAAATCCTTAATGTAGGAAAGAGACCACAAGTTGCTGCCAACATTAAGGAAGCAAGGTCGTCATCATGTCATGTCATTTTGACATTTTCAATTGATAATTTGACAAATGTAAATATAAAATAAAATTTTCATAATTTCATGCGGATGAAGTCGCTCGGGAACTGCTAGTTTACTCCTCATACAAATACAGAATATATGTGTGTGTGTTATGCTCCATTTGCTAAATTTATACACAAAGCGTAGCACAGAATGTGTAGAGTTATCTTCTTTTCATTACAGAGACAGGTACATGGTTTTTTACTTACATTTGCGCTACTTATTTATTTCAGGTCAAGGCTGGTAAATTGCATAACACTTATTTAGAGGAATCGGGAGTAAACATGTTACCGAATGGGGCCGGCTAGACTGATGACCACGACCTCAAAGACAGGACAATGTAAATATTTTACGTATAACGTTTTACACTCTGAAGACTAAGAGCACGCGCACACCTTTGATTAAACTATCGCACAACTGTTTTTTTTTTATAAAAAAAAGGGGGCAAACTAGCGGCGTGAACACCAAGGTAGTCAACGACGCCCATCCGCTACACCAGAGGAACTACAGATGCGTTGCCGGCCTTTTAGGAAATGATAGGCTCGCTTCTTGAAGGACCTTCTTTAATCGCTTTGATTCTTATAAGCTTATATGGAGGTGCGCACTCGATTTTTAGTTATGCAACTAAACAGTCGGCTGCAAAACAATCGACAATCGCACAACAGTTGTGCGATTACGTCATTTAACTTGGTATTTCAATAAGTTGATTAATTTTTAATATTAATTTAACTACATTAAATTCAAATAGAAACAGCCTTGTGTTTATTACTACAACATTATTATTATTTATTACTCCACGCACAATACACGCAGGAAGTTTATTTTGAAGGAACGTTAACAAAACGAGAAACTATAGCAAAATATTGCAACATTAATACACGTTGTACACTTTGTTAACTCACGTAAACGCAGTTGTGAAAATTGTTTAAACTATACTGTTTCAAAATATGCTTTTTTGTTGATAAAATGATAAAGACTCTAGGGGCAATTATCATAATCTTACTAATATTATAAATATGAAAGTTTCGATGGATGGATGGATAGATGGATGGCTGGATGTTTGCTAGCGTTTGTAGCCTAAACGGCTGAACGGATCTCCATGAAATTTGGCACAGGTTTAGAGCATAATCTGGAAGAACACTTAGGCCACTTTTTATCCCTGGAATAGTTACGGTTCCTGTGGGATTTATTAATTTAGTTTTTTAATGTTTACTCGATCATTCTGCAACGGTTCAACATATCTTATTGAAATTTGGCACAGATATAAAACAATCTGGAGTACACATGGGATAAGCTTCATCCCCGAGAAATGTCCGATTCCCGAGGGATACGTAGCTTTTTGTAATTTACATAGTTTGTATGTTTTCTAATACCACGCGTACGAAGTCGCGGGCAACAGCTCGTAATATTATAAATGGAAAATTGGATGGATGGATGTTTGTTACTATGAATCTCCAAAACAGCTTAACGGATCTCGATGAGATTTAGCACATGTGTAGAGCATAGTATGGAAAAACACGTAAGCTATTAATTATTTTTTTAATATCAGACAAAGTCGTGAGCTAAAGCTAGTATAATATAGCCCTTGTATCATTACAGTAACCAACATTCAGGGAATATTATCGCGCAATAAATTCATAAGTAAAAATTAAGAATAAACGATTCAATTTTTTTCTCCACCGCAAATGTCACCCGAAAATATACGTCCTGGAATACCGCGGCCAACGCAACGCTGTTTATTTGGGTTGTGATGAAAAAATGCATATCTGCTCTCCGTCACATATAATTGGAGCTCATTTATAACGCTTAAGGCATCACCTCCTCGCAGGGACTGAAACTGTCACAGTTAATATACGCTTCTTATTTAAGAACTTTTATCACCTCTGCCAACTTCCGGGTTGATACTCAAAGGTTAATTAACAAAGGCGAGGGTTGTCAACCTTTCTACAGTGACAAAGTTGCCATATTAAAGAGAGAATACTGCGTAAAAGATTCTGATTCCAGATTTCGGGAAGATGATTGCTTTGCTGATAACGAAAATGTCATTTTAATCTTTTTTGTCTGTCTGTTTATCCGCAAGCCGCGTTTGTTCCGGGTAATATCCGAAACAGCTGATGAAGCGGATTTTCACTGCAGGGTAGCTGACTTAGACGGGCATACTATAGGCTACTTTATCATACTAATATTGTAAATGTGAAAGTTAAGATGGATGGATATTTGTTAAGGTTTGTAGCCTAAACGGCTGAACGGATTCTGATGAAATTTGGTATATATGTAGAGAATAGTTTACATTTTTGATTTATTTAATTCCAAGCGGATGGAGTCGCGGCCGAAAGCTAGTATCCTAATATTGCGAGGACTAAGTCGCGGACAACAGTTAGTACATAAAAGTGTAGAGATCTTAAACTAAACATAAAAGTTTAAACTATATTTGTACATTGACAAGATAATCTAATAAAACACCACCATAACACATGTAACAATCTAACATTTTAAAGAATCAGTTTTATATTTGCCAATTGTTTTGCATCATGTCCGATCATGGTCTCGTTATGCCAACTGCGCTTACTATGGGCTTACATACATGTACAAACAATATCCTCATCCCTGTCATTCCTTTTAACAAATAGAGATAGCAATATCCTTTTGTTAAGGTGGCGGTAATGTAAACTCACGTTTACTTTTGAATACAGGTTGTCATCTCTTGTCTATCAAATATCCTTGTGTTCGCATCACATTCGACGTGTTTGTGGCTCATTCCCAGCGACTGTCTTTGATTGATTTACAGGTTCATAATTAATTTGGATGTCGTCCAGTTCTCTTAGTCATCATTCAAGGAGTATGAACTGACAATTCAAACCATACAAATACTAGCTTTCACCCGCAACTCCGTTCGCGTGAAATTAAAAAAAAAAACAAAAGTGAATAGCCTATGCGTTCTTCCAGATTACCTTCTACATCTATGCCAAATTTCATCGAAATCCGTTCAGCCCATTCGGGTACAAACTCTAACAAATAAACATCCATCCATCCATCCATCTATCCATCCATCTAAACTTTCACATTTATAATATTAGTAAGAAGTAAGATTATAAAGAGGAAAAAAGTATTTTTGTATGTATTGCAATAACTCAAAAACTATTGGGACTATTTCAAAAATTCTTTCACCGTTATAAAGCTACGTTATCAGTGAGTACCATAGGCTATAATTTATATTATTTTTTAATTTCACGCGGGCGAAGTATCGAGCAACAGCTAGTAGAAAATAAAATTTATTCATTCATGAATTAAACTGCAGTGACAATAGTTTTAGAAAAATCCCAAATTAAAGATAGTAACGGCGTCGAAGAGTCTCAAATCGTCACTTGTAAGTTCGAGTAATAAACATTTAATTCAGCCTTTTCATTGATATAAAAAAGTTAACGAGCAAAAGGCTCAAAATTTACTGTAAGCATCAGCTCCTATAATTGCAATTAGCGTTTTTTTTTAATTCCTTCTGTCTACTGTTTTCTAAATCTTTAAAAACATAAGTATTTTTAGTTCGTTCGAATTCTAACATAAACACATTTTCACGTCGCGTTTTCAACCGTGGAAAAAAACAAAGCGAAATATAGGCTAGATTTCAGGTGTGTTGTGTCGAAAAGCACGCACAAGTCTAAAATAACATCATGGTTTAATTTTGCCAAGTTTCCGGGAAACCGAGTATTACGGGCTGGAGAACGCCGGCCCTGAACTAGTTAAATAACTGTGCGCTTCAAATATCGCTATTTTGTAACTTACTGACCTTCAAATATAGTGTTTTTGTGAGGCTGTGGTATCGTAAACAACCGTGTAATTTTAACAGTGGTAGTGCCCGCTGTAAGATCTTAGCACTGCAGGCCGGCACGCCCGGTGTAATACCACGACCACACAGAAGACAGGCGTGAAATGGAAGCAATTCCGTGTTTCGTCTGATGAGTGTGGTGCCGGAGGCCTAATTTAAGTCCCTTTCTCTTTACCACCCTTTTCTTATGAGAGGATGGGAAGGGGAAGTGGATTTGACGATGGAGGAGATGCATAGGAAGAGGAAATATCCTCTTTATGTGCGTCTCCTCCTCCGTCGGATAAGGGTAGGCAACGCATCTGCAATTGCAGATGTCTATGGGCAGCGGTCACTTCGCCATTTTGGCGGATTCAGGTGGCCGCTTGCTCGTTTGCCACATTATGTTATAAAAAAAAAAAACGATAGCACAAATCTCAATAAACCAACCACAATCTCCATAAAACAGCAGCATTAACGGCGTTGGGCGAGACTTCTATGTACGTTGCCCTCTAACTACAAAACAAACCCATATAGAGATATATGACATTTGTACAAGGCGTATAGTGCACTGTCAAATGTATTACTTTGTCGATGACGATACGATTTCTTGCAAATTTTCGTACTAGGCCCTTGATGTCAGTTTACAGCTGACGTAAATGCTGGTTTGATTAATTTATTGGACAAGGTCGGAGCGGATTCGAATGATTTAAGACAACTGCACTTTGCATTGCATTTTGTATGAAGTTGCGTTTTAACCGCCAAAACATTCCAACTAAAACACATTTAAATCTCATTCTCCTTAAAAATACACAGCTGAAACATAAAACTTTTTTCTAAATTAAGTAATTTTTGGTTTACAATGATTCGAAGTTACGAAGATCGGCGTGTCCATAACCTTCGTACTTATTAAAAGCACGTCCAAATAAAATTCCTAAATAGATTATCTAAATGTATAGCAATCAGATTGGTTCTTACGGAATTTGTACGATTTAAAAATACTTGTATTTACGGCAGCCTGCCACTTTACGTTTATTTCAACACATCGAGTGTAGATTTGAACGGCTTACGTTACCTACTGCGGATGTGGTAACAGAATGGTCGTTTTCCAATATCAACACTATCCAGCAATTCCGATGAAGGCCCTTAAGTGACGAAACTTTTTTTCATTTAATTTTCACTCTAAGTTCCTGAACTAAGAGTACATATACATATGTGGCGGTAAAATGAACACATTGTATTTTATTGCAACCAGTTACATTACAGAATGATCGTTTTAAGATTTCATTTGAAAAGTTGAAATAAGTCTTTTACACAATCCTCTTAAAATACAAGCAGAGACATCTATATTGTAGTAAAAAAAACATTTATTTTGCGTTGAACGCCATCTAGTTTAAAATGTCGGCACCAGTTTGTGGAAAACGAGTAAATGTCTTGTGACATCCAGTTACAATCTTACGTAGATAGATGGCGCTGTAATTAAACTTACTAAAACAGTTGGATAAAAATACGCAATAGAACGTAACGATAATTTGGCAATCGTATTGAAAAGATTAATATAGCATCATGAATAATAAAGTTATTTATTATCTGGGCTATTTTCGTTCGCAATAGAAAGCACGAGTATTACTTTGCTGTAGACGTTCATACTTATTTTGGCAATGTAGTAAGAGACAGTAAATGTGGTAATTATCTTAATTATAAACAAAAGCTACCACAAAAGCAACTTGAGTTTGAGTTTATTGTACTTGTTGAGTTTATAACTGGTCGATAAAACGTTGAATTACGAATTCAGACTCAGGAGTCATAAAACAGCGATTGTTGGCAGTGGTCGGCGGTCTCACGCGACGCTGTAATGAGGCTGTCGTAGCTCACTTGATCGCCAACCGTTTAATTTGTAAACCATACGACCGACACGATGTAAAATACGTGTTAATTAGACATTTGTAGATTTATTTCAAAGGTTCGAAAAAAAAGTTGCGTCCGTTACCGTTAACCAAAATACGGAAAACAGTCTTCTATATGAAAGTGGTGATACATGGGAACGAATACTTTTCTTTTTAATAGCATGAAATTGCAAAATGAAAAGGTCGTCATCTGATGCAGCCAAAATTACTAAATTATGGTCTTTTAGTCTTTTGTCGTCTATAAAATCTAATATGCTTTAATTACAATATTTGTTTTAATGTTATTTTATAATCAATAGTGTTATTTTAGGAACTACGAACTAAATCTCATTTCAATCTCCTATTTTTACTGTGGTAGCTAAGTGACGATAGATTTAAAAATAATTTGTCTTGCCTCATAACTATTTCGGGTTCGATAAACCGAGTATATTTAAACCATTTTTACCGATTAATTATTTCCAAACATACAGACTATAATCTTTTATAATTAAACCTCTGTCGTCACAATAAACATGAGACGAAGAATTCATGAAGACTCTTCTCTGAGGTCATAGTATTAAACGGGCTCTACCACTGTTAAAAAGGCATTATTAAACTGGTATTCAGAATATTTACATTGGTAGTAATATTGACTTACTTCCATATTCATACGGGCTTCGGGCGCGCCGGCCCGGGCGTCGCTCAACCGGCCCGCGAGTAGCGCCGGCACCGCCACCCGGCTCACCCACTCGCCGAACTCTGCGACACACCGGCACGTCACCACACAACACTTGTGCACCTCTGTGTTACACGACACAAGTAAAAAGCACAGGGAAAGCTTGCTACAATCTACGAAGCAGAGTATCCTAGTTGGAAAGGAAAGTAAAGAAAATGTTTTAGGTAAAATGACTCTTGTATACTAAGTTTGTATTCATTGTCCTCGTCAAGGAAGGGAAAGGAGGCAGTTCTTCTCCTCTAGAGCCGAAAAATGTTAAAACGATATTAAAATCGGTGGTATAAGACCATAGTAATTGAAGCGGTCCACACCCCTTCCCCTCCCGAGACTTAGTCAGGAGACAGGCGTCTGTAATTTGTGCAAGAAAGTAATAATAATAAATGATTACTACTTAAACTTTAAAGATATACAAAAACATAGATATAAAGAAATAGAACTAGAAGAGATAAGCAGAAGAAAGCAACAATAAAACAAAACGAAGACAAAGGGTGACAATGAAGTACGTAAAGTTTGACATTGTGTTTAGTTTGTTTAGTGTATAGTGAATGAGTAAATAACTACGAAACTACAAATTTTTCTATTTCTACAAAGCTTTACTTCTGTCATTGAAGTAAATTTTGATAATTAGATACTTTGTAATTTACAATCAGCGAAATTAGTTTGTGTTCAAATTAGGTTGTAAAATTTGCTTCTAATTATTATTTACTTGAAGTATTAACTACGAAAGGTAATAAAATGAGGCTCTACAATATCTATAAGCGGTCATCGAGAAAATCTTTTTTGTAAACAACAGTATAGTCAATTTAATAAATCGTGTAAACTGACCTATCGCCTCTTGGTTCATGAGGTCTAGTGTTTCGTGTGTGTCGTCCATTTTGTGTATCACTGTTTGTGTGTGTTTAAAATTCCACTATATCACTACGCACTTCACATTTAAAATATTTTTTAAAAGTCAATTAATACAATTAGATATGCATTCTTCAATCTTTGTAAAACTATTTCTCTAAAGTAGACAGTAAAATGGCTCAAAGTTGTACCAAATAAAACATAATTGTTTAGAAGAAAATACATTGACGAAACAAGTCTTAATAATTTAGACAAAGAATGACTACGAGGACATCTATGTTCTTATCTAGTAAAACATGTTCTACAATATAACCGATGTAAACGTCATGTTTGGCAAATGTTGCACTTAAATCTTCAGAGATTTACTCGTATTCCACACGGATCATTTAGTGTACCCGTTGCAAGAATGCATGACGCAACACGCATCAGGTGTGCCAACTGACATGCCAAAAACTTGAACTTGTATCATACTGCATTTCATCATTCTTCAACTACGCAATCGAAAAGAAATTAGAAATATGCAACAAAGATATAAATAATCACGTTAAATCAACATATCCCCTATTTTATTCTAGTCCCGTAGAGTCGGCGCACCGTCGTCCTCCAAATAACTCTATCATCCGTCATCTCAGTCATCACTCCCTTCTTGATCATGTCACCTTTCACGCAATCCATTCATCTCTAAACCTATCTCTGCCTTCATACCCATAACATAATCAAAGTTCACCTGTTCCGTGTAACACTATAAAAATAGATTCGTTGTCGATAGATTGTACAGATTTTGCAAATACATTTTCCTTTACTCTATTTCTATTATTTTGGTGGATGATTTAAATATCATCTATAATTATCACAAGGTTGAACTCTGGAGTAATGGCTCACGACCGATGCTGGAGTATTTTAGATTTTAGTATCAAAATAGTATGTTTGTGACATCCTGTTTCATCATTTTCTAGTGGTATTTCACCATTTATTATCATTAACTAGAGATATGTAAACTACAGAAATCTCTAATCCTGCCTTTGGCATAAAATTGACGCCAAGAATCACAAATGTTTCGACTTCGTATCCACATACCTAATGTATCCATAGACAAACATCTTTATTTAGTTTAATTACGTTGTTGGAATTTCGTAAATTCGAAGACAGTATTATAACGTATCTTTTTGTTACATTTATAAACGAAATGTGTATATTTTCTCTATTTCAAGGAGGGAATTCGACCTCCAGTAACGGTTGATATTTTCAACACTGACCAATGTCACTGGTTCAATGTCTTACGAGCCCGCGCTAATCAACGCATCTGTTATGTAGTGTAACAATTTTAACACCGAGATAAACGTGATTTTTTACTAGGGATTACCTTATATTGCTATCTCTTTTTCTCTAATGAAAAGGAGAGAGGAGGCAATGGGATTGCTAAAATATACGTGGAAATCATATATGAAAAAAAGTAAAAACAACAAGAAATTGGAATTTAAAAATCTCTACAAATAATTATATTTTTTTGTTATAACATTTATGAATGCAATGTAGATAGTGTTAGAAAAAATGATTATTATTTTACGCCCTGACGCCGCAGCCACAAAATGCATTGTTTCCATATTTCAGATATCGTCATTCAAATAGAATGAAATCAATTAATTCTATGAAATATCTGAAACGCTCGCAACATGTGCATGAACTTGAAATAAATATAACTGAAAATAAAACCACCCACAAACTATGTGCACGTTGCAACTACTCGTATGTTTTGCGATGTCAAAATAAATTGAAATTAAATTTACATTTTAATATGTTTTTACTCTTAAAGGCTTAGAAAATGATGGAGGGATTGGGTGAACGAAGACATGAGCAAAGGTAGCGACTGAAATGTCGAATGACAGTCACATTTGGAGGAATAAAACCTTGTGCCGGAACGATTTGCACAAAGAAGTCGGTTAATAAAATAGAGAAACGTTAATGGACGTCACATAAATTATGAAATACTTGCTTCCGCCCACGACTCCGTCCGCGTGGTATTAATAAAAACAAAAGAAAGTAGCCTTTGTGTTCTTCCACACTACGTCTATGCCAAATTACATCCAGATCCATTCAGCCATTTAGGCTACAAACTCTAACAAACATCCATCCATCAACTTTCACATTTATAATATTAGTATGAAGTATGATCTAAATATGAAACTCCGGGATTAAAGCAAGATACTTTAGCAATGATTGAATATTTTGAATGGAGAATATATATAGATTACATGTGCTTTCGATTACGTCTGTGTCTGTAGCTGCGCTGCGTCTTGTTGCAGATATTTGTGAGAAACACTTATGAGCGGTATTAAAGATCGTTTAAGTACATAAATAAACCTAAAATTATTGTACTTTACTGTTACTTTGACTTAAAAACGCCTGCTAACTTTAAGTAGTTTCTGAAAAATTAAACTAGTAAATAGTGATCGTTTTTTAAACGTGGCATCCGAAAACAAAAACGACAGGAAATAATAGTATATCTTTGAAGAATGCATAGACGAGACCAAGTGAAATATTTTTTACTACACTAAATGTCAACGCCTGTAATCAAACTCCCTACTTAAATGTTCAGTTAATCGCTTTTTAATCACTCTTATTACAAAACCATAAGGTACACTTTCACCAATCTCTATCAGACTTTTCGCCCGGATAACATCAAGCCAATTTAAATTGAAACGCCCTATGACCCTTATTACAAGAGTGTAAGGTTTGATATGTAATGGTGAGAGTTCAAAGAAAGTTTGTAAATAGTGTGGCCGGGAAGGCCGGGCTAAATACGTCCACGTCTTTGGCACGCCACTGGGACAAGGACGCCTCATCTATGCAACGATGGATTGATTGACCGATTAACAAAAAAGTTACTGTAGGCATTTTTTAACAAATCAACTCTTCCTAAATTTAAATCAGTATTGATTGATGAAGCTGCCTACGGTAACGATAATTTAGAAATCGATTTAGAAAATGGTATAATGAAATTTTGAAAAAAAGTAATTTATTTACAGAAACATCAAGAGAAACACCACAAAATTGTAAACATCAAACGAAGATTTTTAAAATTCAGATTATAAACTAGACGAAGAGATAAAAGTAATCGGTTTCGTAAAAACACACATCAAAGCGATGTTGGTGTAAAACATAGTATTGTGTCTTGTCGAAAAACATTTGTGGGAAAGAGCACAAGACAAGGCGTGTGTTTTTGTACACAGATAGGTATAACACAGGGCAAGGGAGTGTACACAGGGTAGGATACGGTGCGTACACGGTAGAGTACTGCGGCGCGCGCGGCGGTTTGTCGCGCTGCGTGGTCCGCGAGGCGAGTGCGCGTCCGTCGCCTGTCGAGTACGCACTATGACTGACTCGCGACTCCGCTCAGCCGCTACATCGCCAGACAATACTTCGATATAATTAATAACATTATTTTATTATGTGCTGAGATATTAATTTGTTTTTAATTAAGGTGAATCTGAATCGAAATCGTTTTCAAGGTTTTGATTCAATGAGAAATGTTGAAAACGTCATAGTAAAGCACTGCTTGCATTCAAAATATAATGTAGTTGTATTTACATTGGGTACAAATTCTTGTATTCTTCTAATTATCTTGTCTCGGTTATAATAATGCCGAATACAGATCTCATTAGGTTTCCATTGAGAATCTCAAATTAGATAATCTCGTTTATGACAACACGTACAAAATCTTTCAAGTAGGAATATGAATACAAATGGGTTTGAACAGGGCAATGTACAATGTGCAGTGTGCAAGAGCAAGGACGAACTGACCAGAGACTGCGCAGCACGTGCAGGCCGGCGAGGCGCACGGCCAGCACGCCGCACACGGGGCCGGAGCGCGCATGCACCGACAGCACCTCCGTGTAGCTGTCCGAGCCAGCGCTGCGCGCCAGCACGTCACCCAGGTACAGGTGCGCGTAGCTACTCATGCCACATATTAGTGGCAAAAGAGAAGACGGAGAATGTAGCAAAATGAACGTTACCCATTGACATCGGTATTGCATTCTTTTAATTGACAGAACAGGGGGCTCACCCGATATCCTCACAGGTGTCGAGTCCGAGCGGATCCTCGGGGGGCTCGGAGACGACTGCGAAGGTGAGGCAGTCGGAGTGCGCGGGCTGTGTGGTGTCTCGCTGTCGGCACCGCGCCATGTGTCCCAGCAGCGGCAGCTCGCTGTCGTTCAGCACGAACTCTGCACAACTCTTAAGTCACTCTTGGCTAGCAGGTCTGGTACTGACAAAATGTCTGACCCTGACTTTACTGCTGATTCAAGGTTGACATCGTCTTTTAGATATAGGTGACTTTATCGCTACTAACGTTTATTAAAGTTGAAATAGCACTTGTCGTTACAACTCTTCGGCTTAGGAAGGCTGATCGGCGTCTCCAGTTCGGCACCTTCCCTGCCCAGGAAGCTGTAGGCGACGAACAGCCGCTGCACGTCAGGGTTAGCCATCGCCTCACACTCCTCGCTTAAAGCCAGCCACACCACAGTAATGTCCAGCGTTTGGTTGCGCATCTCCTCCTCCGGCCCCAAATTCGTCACTATTGAACTACGCTCCTAACACGAAAAATCTTTACGTCAAAAGACTGCTGTAACTACTAAACAACCAACTACTTACTCATATGTATTTGTGTAATAGTTTCTAGTCGAGGCTATAGTTTACTGGAGAGTAATTTTTATTCATTAATACCCTAAACTTGGGAACCTAAAGCAAACCAAGGGCCCCTTGACAAAATTTGCTAGAGGCCTCGCCCTGGCTCATTCCGGCACTGATTCAGTATAAGAACATTGAATATTACTTACTTTAACAGGCACTTCGACCACTTCCATCTCATCGCGTTCCAGTCCGATCGTCACTGATTTCTTCTGTCCATGCCCGTTTGATGACTTTGGGTACCCTACATGTTGAAATGTTATTTTTTATTAATAAGCTTTTTGTAACTAATATCTGGTCACCAGAATGGTCTTACGTACCGGCTCTCCAGTGCTTGTTTTTCATTAGACTGTAAATCGTATTTGAATCAGAACCCTAAAAATTATTTATTAGTGTAAATGAGCGTTCATTAAAGTAACATATTAATAAAGAAATGTCAGGTAACAAGCTATTTTTAAGCTGTTTACATTAAACCAGTAAATAAGGCCAGTAGCATTTAAAATTGGCGCTGACAATATAAAAACCGTCCATGCCAGACCTGCACTTCTCTCCAACTGTACTGGCTGTGATTTACTGAGAATTAAAAAAGTGAAATAAGGAACTCACAACAAGAACCCGCAATTTGCTCGGCGGTCTGATTTCATTAGCGACCGCCTGACGCACCTCTTGCGAAGACCTTACTGTTAGTTGCTGCAAAACGATGACAATATATTTAATAATTTCAATTGCAAGCTATAATTAATTAAAAATAATAAATAATAACCTCACTAACCGTATTATTTAATACCAGTCCGGGTAATGGCTGAAAAAAAGATCCCTATCAATGAAAAAAAACCACATCCAAAGACAGTAAAGGTCAATGAAATCATATTTATGGCAAGGTAATAGAGACGTCCTCTGCCCTACTTCGGGGACTTAGAACAAAGAGCGAGAGAGAGAGAGAAAGAGAGAGAGAGGGAGAAGAGTGGCGAGATAATTCTTACTTTACTATTTCTGTTGCATTGTAGACTCTCCTCTAACTCCCGTGTAAGATGGAACACGCTGGACTGGTCCTCGCCTGCTGGTGCACACATAGTCGCTGCCTAAACAATAAAGCTAAAAGACTGATCTAAATGCTCACTAAAGTTTATACATATATCTGCACTACGAGGATTACTAAAGGTTACCTTGCTGGAGCCTTTGCGCAGCGCGGCGAGTAAGGCAGGATCTAGCCTTAACTGGCACCACACGTCCAGCACGCCAGCCTCCTCGCCGCAGTCCAGCGCGTCAGTCACCACCCGGCTGCTCACAATCTCCTCACCCGCCATCTGGTATATTTACATTCTCTTGCTATTGACAAAGACAGAGAGGTAAAAGCTAAGCAGTTGGATAAAGAGAATAGTTGAAAAACGATACGTTACTTGTCAGATGACATAATTTTGGAGCCTTCTTCTAACATGATAATCTCTTAGAACTATAATTTTCTGTTATGTTTGGATCCTGATATATTCTATAGCAGAGTCTAATTCGTACTTAATATTATAAATGCAGAAGATTAGCTGGTTGTTTGAAAGAGTTTGCCGCCTAAACAGCAGAACGGATCTTGATAAAATTTGGCATAGACGTAGAGTATAGTCTGAAAGGACATATAGGCGACTTATGTCTGTTTTCAGCTAGGTTGTTTTTAACGTTTCCATCGTTTTGAATAAGATTGGTGTAACCAGTGGCAGTGACATATCAGCGCGGCGGTTCGCGTGCAGCAACGTGTCGCGCAAAGGCAGCGCGCAGCTCGCGAATACCTCATCCATCTTGTTAACTTCGCAGATCTTCAGGCACATGTCCTCCTGCCAATAGTATACATTGCAAACTATAATCCATTTCCCTCACACCTACCATGCCTGACAAGGACAGATGCAGAAATGGAGAGGATATGCGACCGAGTTAATTTGTCGAAGGTCTTACACAAAATCTGTCATCAAAATAGTGTTAAAGCCAAGGAAAAGAGAAGTGAATATTCGATTTTAACGTCAACGAAATATTCAACGAAAACAATAGTACTTTTTTCATTGTAATTTGTTACCTTCATGGATCGGAATCAAAATGAAATTTTTGTATAAAATATTTTAAACAACTTGGCAAATAACGATTGTTAATTGTGTTGTAAAGTTTGCCTTTTTATAGGTCATTACGAGGAGTTATTTTTTTTAAAGGGCTCTACCGATGCCAAACAATCTGAGTACGGAATGTCGCATTCACTGGGTTAACTGTCACAATTGTTGAATGGAAATGCGGCCAATTGTAATTATTTTTTTATAATTAAACTAGGTTTCGCCCGCGACTCCGTTCGCGTGGAATTAAAAAAAAATAAAAGTGAGTAGCCTATGTGTTCTTATAGACTATCCTCTACATCTATACCAAATTTCATCGAAATCCGTTCAGCCGTTTAGCCTACAAACTCTAATAAACATCCATTCATCTATATAAACTTTTGCATTTATATCAGTATTGTAGTGTTATACGAATGCAATTTTTGGAATTTTTAATGAACTACAATAAAATGAATTCCGTTATTCCTCAGATCTACAAAGCAATGGTATTCAAAAGGTTAGTCTATTGCTAGATCGTTAGCCATTCAGTCATTTTTTTTATACACAATGTATATTGTGACCCTTGTTTTTGCAGTTACAACACTAATTCAATTCTACGATATTGTATGATGCTTACATTCCTCATGTACTCAAGGAAGTGTTCAGTGAAGGGTAGCTGGTACTCTGTGGTGAGATCGAAGTGAGCGACGCGGCCGGGCGGCACACGCGCCAGCCCCGCATTCTGCTCGTAGAACCGCCACGTTAATAGCAGCGATTTACCACGCGAATGCAGTACAGCCTGGTAGTGGAACTTAATATATAACTGTGGGTTCACACTGCTGTAGGGATTGGAATGCAAAGGTACCTGGTCGGATAAAACAAGCGTGCCGATGTGCAATGTGAAGTGGCATATGTGTGAGTGAGTGGCCACTATGCGGGCCTGGCCCTCCGCGCGCCGCAGCGCCAGCGCCTCCGACGCGCCCTCCGTGTTGCACGACATGTCTTTTGAACTTTTGCCCTGCTGTATACCAACGTATTGCTTTACGGAATCCACTTTTATCCTCTTTGTAGTAATCAGTAACTTAATTTGTTTTTAGTTCATACAAATGTTGATGATCACATTCAGATAAATGAACCTTCTTAGGTTGAAAAGGTCAAGTAAGGTGAATAATACTTCAAATGTCTCGTCTCCATTTGGTCTTTAATATCTAGTTTTTATTTCATGTTTGTAAAAGTATTTAAAAAATAATAGTTTATTACTGGAAAAGATTGCATACTACCGCTGCTAATGACAATGAGACAAAAGAAAACTACAAATATGAGTTCAATAAAATTTATTTATCTAATATTTACATGATACAATATACATCTATTGCACATACAGCCCCCGGGGGGTGGACAGAGATGGGGACACAACTAACAAAGGATGTATTAGGTCTATGGTGTGTATAATTTCAGTGGGGGGAGGTGGGGGATCACCTGGGGGCGCTGGCGCTGCAGCAGCGCCCGGCAACGCGACAGCTCCTCCCCGATAGCTTGCAGGGCGTCCTCCACGCGTTGGGACGTCGAAAATGGAGGCCTACAATAGCAACAGTTAGTTACAAAACCCACAGAAAGTAAATTGAGTTATAAATAAAAGACATACGATATTTCTCCGCTACTAGTCTTCCGTCTTCTCTCGCCGGGGGATATAAGTTTTCTACCTGGAATTGTACATTACATTAATCTATTTACTAGAAACACTTGTAAATATGAAATACAATGGTTAGTACCGGTGTTGCGCGAGTGCAGCGGCAGCTCGCCCTCGCTGAGCGTGAGGCA